AATTTATTGAATGGGTTTGGTTTAATAGGTTAGTGGACAATCATCCCACTAGCCTATTATAGCGATCCCATTCAATAAATTGCAAATGGACACACATCCCACTCCCCATTTATTGAATGGGATCGGTTTAATAGGTTAGTGGACAATCATCCCACTAACCTATTATAGCGATCCCATTCAATAAATTGCAAATGGACACACATCCCACTCCCCATTTATTGAATGGGATCGGTTTAATAGGTTAGTGGACAATCATCCCACTAACCTATTATAGCGATCCCATTCAATAAATTGCAAATGGACACACATCCCACTCCCCATTTATTGAATGGGATCGGTTTAATAGGTTAGTGGACAATCATCCCACTAACCTATTATAGCGATCCCATTCAATAAATTGCAAATGGACACAAATCCCACTCCCCATTTATTCAATGGGATCTGTTTAATAGGTTAGTGGACAATCATCCCACTAACCTATTATAGCGATCCCATTCAATAAATTGCAAATGGACACACATCCCACTCCCCATTTATTGAATGGGATCGGTTTAATAGGTTAGTGGACAATCATCCCACTAACCTATTATAGCGATCCCATTCAATAAATTGCAAATGGACACACATCCCACTCCCCATTTATTGAATGGGATCGGTTTAATAGGTTAGTGGACAATCATCCCACTAACCTATTATAGCGATCCCATTCAATAAATTGCAAATGGACACACATCCCACTCCCCATTTATTGAATGGGATCGGTTTAATAGGTTAGTGGACAATCATCCCACTAACCTATTATAGCGATCCCATTCAATAAATTGCAAATGGACACACATCCCACTCCCCATTTATTGAATGGGATCGGTTTAATAGGTTAGTGGACAATCATCCCACTAACCTATTATAGCGATCCCATTCAATAAATTGCAAATGGACACACATCCCACTCCCCATTTATTGAATGGGATCGGTTTAATAGGTTAGTGGACAATCATCCCACTAACCTATTATAGCGATCTCATTCAATAAATTGCAAATGACACACATCCCAGTCCCAATTTATTGAATGGGATCGGTTTAATAGGTTAGTGGACAATCATCCCACTAACCTATTATAGCGATCCCATTCAATAAATTGCAAATGGACACACATCCCAGTCCCAATTTATTGAATGGGATTGGTTTAATAGGTTAGTGGACAATCATCCCACTAACCTATTATAGCGATCCCATTCAATAAATGGGGAGTGGGATGTGTGTCCATTTGCAATTTATTGAATGGGATCGCTATAATAGGTTAGTGGGATGATTGTCCACTAACCTATTAAACCGATCCCATTCAATAAATTGCAAATGGACACACATCCCAGTTGCAATTTATTGAATGGGATCGGTTTAATAGGTTGGTGGACATTCATCCTGCTAACCTATTCAAATGATCCCATTCAATAAATTGCAAATGGACACACATCCCACTACCCATTTATTGAATGGGATTGGTTTAATAGGTTAGTGGACAATCATCCCACTAGACTATTACAGCGATCCCATTCAATAAATTGCGAATGGACACACATCCCGCTCCCCATTTATTTGAATGGTATCGGTTTAATAGGTTAGTGGACAATAAACTACTATAGCTATCCCATTCATTAAATGCCAAATGGACACTTGTCCCATTTGCAATTTATTGAATGGGAATGCTTTAAGTGGTTAGTGGACATTAATTCCACTAAACTATTATAGTGATACCATTCATTAAATGGCAAATGGACACATGTCCCACTTGCAATTCATTGTATGGGAACGCTTTAATGGTTAGTGGACAATCATCCCACTAACCTGCCATAGCTATCCCATTCATTAAATGGCAAATTGACAAATAGTGGGTTCGTGGGACGTGGGGGGGGCGTGGACAAGGGGTCCCCGTGGGTCCGGGGTCGTTCCGTCATTATAATGGCCAAATGGACAAATAGTGGGTTCGTGGGACCTGGGGTGCGTGGCCAAGGGGGCCCGCAGGGGTCCGGGGTCGTTCCGTCACTATAATGGCCAAATGGACAAATAGTGGGTTAGTGGGACCTGGGGGGCATGGCCAAGGGGGTCCGCAGGGGTCATTCCGTCAACATAGTGGGCAAATGGACAAATAGTGGGTTCGTGGGACCTGGGGGCGTGGCAGTGGTCAGCAGCGGTCAGCGGGGGTCCAGGGGTCATTCCGTCAACATAGTGGGCAAATGGACAAATAGTGGATTCGTGGGACCTGGGGGGGGCGTGGCCCGGGGGGCATGGAAGTGGTCAGCAGTGGTCAGCGGGGGTCCAGGGGTCATTCCAGTGCTCCAATGGGCGAATGGACAAATAGTGGGGGGGTCAGGGACCCTGAAGCCAAAAAATTTTGGGGGGGCGGCGCGCAGGGTACACGAACCCACGTACGTGAGCCATCGAACGTATGATAGAGTGTACCCGGTCCAAAAGTTATGTACTACCGGGAGAAATACCTATTTAATTTACACAGTGAAGAATATGTAATATGTATAATGTATGTAGCATTTCTTATTTATTTGTTCTACTGTAGTTTTTTTGTCCTATTGCTTGTAATTAGTTTCTTATTCTTATTTAATTGCTGACTGATTACTTGTCTTCAGTGGGCTTGAGTTTTTTATTTATTTATTTATTTATTTTGTATTCGTTTTTTGTGATATTAACACTGGTGACAAGAAGTGTAAAATGTATATGGTATCAAATATGCCAATATCATAAAGGCCTTATTTAAAGCAAAAATAACTGATAGAAGTTATTATATCGTGATAGAATATTTTAGTCATATCGTCCACCCCTAAGCTGCATGATTTGAGGAATTATTCATGTCTGGAGCACAAATAGTGTGAGCACCACTAACAAAACAGACAAACGGACAACAGGAAATGAAACGCAGACCGTGTTATCATGCATGCTACATAAGGAAAATAATGAAACCCCTAGGCAAAAATGAAGTGGTTGATGACAAGGTGAAAACAAGGTCCAGTTACAGAGCTGCAAACATTGTGTCACTGTGATAAAATGATGGTCTACATTTAAAAGCTATGCATGTGTACGCAAACTTCACACACTAACAGGGGAATGCAAACTTCACATATCACTGTGGTTTCTGACGTGCACCAGTGACAGTGATGGGGAGTGATACGGACCTGCTGGTTTGCTGTGGAGACAGATTCCTGTAAAGACTGGTATATGACACTGTGCAGACCACTGCTGTGGTAGTCCGAGTACACAGTCAAACCGATGCCACTGTCAGCTAGAGAGACACAGAGAGAAGACACGTACTAGGAATATTCTTGACATAACACCACCAAAACATCTGACCATTATGACAGAATCAGTGTCACTCGTCCCTTAGTTTACATGGTAACAAAATTAGTAAAATGACTGGAGATTGTTACAAAAACTGAGTTTGCAAGGGAGTCTTTGATTCATGTTTAATTTTTAACAACAGTCGATATTTGAATATTTTTAACCTTTTCATAGGTAGGTTTGAATAGTTAAGTTTTTTTAAAGAAGCCTCTTCTGCTAAACAAGGCACTTATTTGACAAAAAAAAAAAAAAGAGAAAAAACAGTGAACTATTATTAAAAAAAAGAGTAAAAACAGTGAACTATTATTACAATTTAAAACAGCTGTTTTCTATGTGAATATCTGTTAAATTATAATTTATTTATGTGATCAAAGCTGAATTTTCAGCATCATTACTCCAATATTTAGTGTCACATGATCTTCAGAAATCATTCTAATATGCTGATTTGCCGCTAAATTATTATTGGTGCTCAATTATTATTAATAACGGTTCATATTTGAAAAAATGCATTAGTGTACTTCTGTAATTAAGTGTCAATAAAGGATCAGCATTTGTTATTAAGCATTTAATTATAACATGTCTTACTTTCTTTGGTAAACATCATCACATGGAAGATTCTCCAAAAGTACACTTCCATAATATATTTAAAGTGCTCTATTTTGACGCACTAATCTTTTACTTAATGTACTAATGTAACGAAGTGTCACTCGAAGTGGGATCCATAAGCAGGCTTTATTACAATCGTGGTCAAACAGGCAATGGTCACATACCAGCAAACACAGTGACGGGGGGTAAACACAATCGTTGTCAGTAAACAGGCTAGAAGTCGGGGCAGGTGGCAATGAATCACAACTCAGAGACAAGGCGGATAATCCAGAAGGCAGGTAGCAGAGTATCATAAACGAGGTACAGACAGGGTCACAACAGGCAGGCAAAACAGAGAAAAACACTCAGAAATGTAAACCGCAGTAAAACAAGACTTCGCAATGAGCTGGAAGGCACAGACTGTTTATATAGGCCAGCTGATGGGCTACAGCTGGGCTAGGTGATCAGTGCCAGATACGGGGCTGATGGGAAATGTAGTGTGAGAGTGTAAGAGTCAATATTCGGGTGAGGGAGCCCTCTGATGGTCGGAAGAGGGAATCACGGAGTTCGACTCTGTGACAGAGCCCCCTCCCTGCGAGCGGCTCCTGGTGCGAGGAGGCGGGCGACGCCGGGGGCTCAACATGTTCTAGGACTCGATTTCGGAGGATTTCAGGGACAAATATCTTATTAGGGGGGCATTCAACTGGTACTTCGGACTGGGCGTTGGCTTGTTCAAGCTCAGTAATGATATCCCACTGGACGGGAGCAACAATGAGGTCGGGGGACAAAACTGTTTCAGGAAGTTGTGGAGATTGGTCGGGTTCATACTGTCTGGATAGAGCGTCAGCTTTGGTGTTCTTGGATCCAGGACGATAAGTGACTACAAACTTGAAACGAGTGAAGAATAGTGACCAGCGAGCTTGCCTGGGGTTGAGTCTTTTTGCGGTTTTCAGGTATTCCAGGTTCTTATGATCTGTAAACACTGTGAATGGATGTGTAGACCGCTCTAACCAGTGACGCCGCTCTTCAAAATCTGCTTTCATGGCTAAGAGTTCCTTATCTCCGACGTCATAATTCCTCTCTGCTATGCTTAATTTCCTGGAATAGAATGCACATGGGTATAGTTTAGGAGGTGAACCTTGCCTTTGAGATAGAACAGCACCCAGGCCAGTATTAGAAGCATCCACTTCCACGACGAAGGGGAGTTCGGGGTCAGGATGACGTAGAATGGGGGCGGTGACAAATCGCTGCTTAAGCTGTTCAAAAGCTTGAATGGCTGTGCTGGACCACTTGAGGCGGTTAGTTCCCCTCTTAACCATGGACGTTAAAGGGTTAGCAACAGAACTAAAGTTCCTAATGAAGCGTCGGTAAAAGTTGGCGAAACCAAGGAAGCATTGAAGTTCTTTCAGGGTGGAAGGTTGTGGCCAACTGAGAATTGACTTGACCTTATTTTCATCCATGGTGACTCCTTCCGGACTAATGACGTACCCCAGGAATGTAATGGAAGTTCTGTGAAACTCACACTTCTCTGCTTTAGCATATAGTTCGTGGTGGATGAGTCGATTAAGTACAGCTCTGACGTGTTGGATGTGTTCCTCAAGAGTATCTGAAAAGATCAGAATATCATCAATGTATACAATGACTATTTTGTTGAGCATGTCTCTGAACACGTCATTCATGAAGGCTTGGAAGACTGACGGACTGTTGACCAGGCCGAAGGGCATGACCAAATATTCATAATGCCCCGTACTAGTAGAGAAAGCTGTCTTCCATTCGTCCCCCTCTCTAATGCGGATAAGATTGTAAGCACTGCGAAGATCGAGCTTGGTGTAGTATTTGGCAGTTCTCAGTTGTTCCAGGGCTGCAGGGACCAGAGGTAGGGGGTATCGAAACTTAACAGTAATCTCATTCAAACCTCGGTAATCAATGCATGGCCGAAGACCTCCATCCTTCTTCTGCACGAAGAAGAACCCAGCAGACGCAGGTGACGTCGAAGGCCGTATGAAGCCCTTGGTTAACTCCTCCTCGATGTACTGCTTCATGGCTTCCGATTCAGGCTGGGATAGAGGAAAGATACGACCCTTAGGGGGTGTTGTACCTGGAAGTAGGTCGATGGCACAGTCGCAGACATGATGAGGTGGCAATTTAGACGCTCTGACTTTACTGAAGGCCACCGACAGGTCGGTGTATTCAGGAGGGAGGTTGAGGTCATGGGGTTTCTCCTCTGATACAGTAATGGACTGGACAGACAGTGGTGAGACATTAGCAAGACATTTGGGGTAACATGAATTATTCCTTCTGGTGATCTGACCTTCTTTCTATGAGATGTGAGGATTGTGTCTGCGAAGCCAGGGTAGACCAAGGATGACAGGCGTGTGAGGTGTGGGGAGGATGTAGAATTGAATATTTTCTGAATGAAGAATACCAGTCCGCATCTGAAGTTCCTGTGTTATGAATGTAACACGTCCTGAGCCCAGTGGGCGTCCATCTATCGTTTCCACTGTCAAAGGAGAGGAGCAACGGATTAGAGAGATATTATTTTGATGAGCGAATTCTCTAGACATAAAGTTTCCAGCCGCTCCAGAATCCAATAGGGCATTGGCAGTGATTTGATGGCCATTTACAGTGATAGTGATAGGTACCGTAACACACAGATCTGGATTAAGTGCATCAACAGGAAAACTCACCGATGCCTGAGACTCAGAGTGCGGCCGTGAGGGACAGGAGATTCGTAGATGACCCGACTGTCCACAGTACAAACAGAGACGTTGGGTTAGTCGACGATTTCTCTCTTCCGCTGATAGGTGGTAAGAATTAACTTGCATGGGTTCAGTTTCATCTGTGGCAGCAGGTACAGGGACTCGGTAGGTGCTACGAGTGTTGGGTCTTCGCGATCTGATGAAGTTGTCAATCTGGATGGCAAGCTCGATAAATTGATTCAAATCTCTCCCCTCGTCACGGCAGGCCAGCTCAGACTGTAGTTCATGACTTAATCCTCTTCTAAACAGTACTTTAAGCGTGTCATCGACCCATGAAGTCTGAGCCGCGAGAGTACGAAAAGTGAGAGCATATTCAGCCGCGGTCCTTTTCCCCTGAGAGAGTTCTAGTAGGCGATCGCCAGCGTTCTTGCCCTCTTTAGGGTGATCAAAGACTTCACAGAACCGTTGCAAGAATATTACAAATGAAGGGAAAGCGGTACCAACCGCCGTGATCCACTCTAACGCTTTGCCAGTTAGTAATGAACAAACAAATGCGATCTTACCAGCCTCGGTGGAATACAGCGTGGGTTGTTGATCCACAAACAGTGAGCATTGAAGTATAAATCCTTTACATTTCGCTGGATCACCGTCAAACTTTTCTGGGAAGGCTAGACGAGGACTCACTTGAGCTGGTATCTCCACAGTGTGTGTAATGGCGGCGTTAGATGGTGTTGTGGCGGCCTCTGGTGGAGAAACATGGAGATTCTGGAGCGCTTTCACTAACTCCTCCGTGAGAGATGTGAGGCGATTCAACTGGTGTTGATGTGCCGCAAGCTGACTAGCCTGGGTAGAAAGTGCTGAGGACAGGTGAGATATAGCCGCTGGATCGTGAGTTGGCGAAGTCTTCTGTAACGAAGCGTCACTCGAAGTGGGATCCATAAGCAGGCTTTATTACAATCGTGGTCAAACAGGCAATGGTCACATACCAGCAAACACAGTGACGGGGGTAAACACAATCGTTGTCAGTAAACAGGCTAGAAGTCGGGGCAGGTGGCAATGAATCACAACTCAGAGACAAGGCGGATAATCCAGAAGGCAGGTAGCAGAGTATCATAAACGAGGTACAGACAGGGTCACAACAGGCAGGCAAAACAGAGAAAAACGCTCAGAAATGTAAACCGCAGTAAAACAAGACTTCGCAATGAGCTGGAAGGAACAGACTGTTTATATAGGCCAGCTGATGGGCTACAGCTGGGCTAGGTGATCAGTGCCAGATACGGGGCTGATGGGAAATGTAGTGTGAGAGTGTAAGAGTCAATATTCGGGTGAGGGAGCCCTCTGATGGTCGGAAGAGGGAATCACGGAGTTCGCCTCTGTGACAACTAAAAATGATTCTTTAGTACTTAAGATAAACTTAAGATCCACTAAGTGTACTCAACTGTGCCATTTTGGGACACCATGAATATGAACTAAAATGCACTTTTAATATACTATCTCTGTATTTAAAAAATTTATTTATTTACCACTTGTAGTACACTTGAACCCATCTTTCATACACTAGCACACTTGTGCACTACTTTTTTTTTTTTAAATACAGATAGTATGTTAGAAGCACATTTTAGTTTATATTCATGGTGTCTCAAAATAGCACAGTTGAGTACACTTAGTTTATCTTAAGAAGTACTAAAGAATAATTTGTAGTATATTAAATGATTAGACCACTTTAAGTACATTATGGAAGTGTACTTTTTTAAACCTGGGTAGAACTCTATTTAACCCCAAACCTTCACAAACACGCAGGCTTACATGTGGTGGAGGTGGTCCTGGCACCGAGCGGACACACGTGGACATGCTGATCCACCTCCGGCTCTTCAGGCTCCAGCAGACCGGGCGGTTCACAGAGGATGGGCCCCATCTCGCCCGGTACGGCCTGTGAGGCCCTCGGCACCGTCCTCTCCCTGCGCCACTTAATCAGAGCCACTCGGTCACGGAGAGACTTGCCCACTATCTTTGCATCGCTCTCATGGAAGAAACCAGACTCAACCTGATGGAAGGATGAGAGGGGGCTGGTGTGAACACGCATTTTTAGAGCAGAGAGAAAGAAGCCAGGGCTCTATTTTAGGAACAGAGGAACACAGATCACAGAATTAAAGGAAAAATGTCTGTGGAGGAAAGCTTAAACTAGACACAACGCACACAAAGAGATGTGCATCTCCATAATTGAGGCTGATGCGACATGCATCTTGATGCATAGCCAACGATACTATACATTAAAGATACATATGAAGCAGCTACCGATGCAATGCGATACGATTCACCCCATTACGATTTGATTCAACAATACGATTCAATGCAATATTATGCAATGGAAAAAAACATGATGCTATGCAATTCAATATGGTACAGAGAGTTTGCTTTGATTTCTATGAGAGAACGCGCTTGAGAAACAGTTTAGAGAGGAGAAATCAATCTACATAAAATATTGGTCACAAATTATTGGTCACTCTCTAAATAATAAAAGTATAGCACATCTACTAATAATGATATTTAAATAGTTTTTTACAGATGCAAATATGTTAGAAATGATGCATCGCGATACAAATGCCAACTTGTATACGATGCACGCTTTTTTAACCAATGCATCGCATGGTTAATTTTTATGCTGAAGCACAGATGCGAATCTGTGAATCTTACCATCCCTAATTCAGAAGAAAGATTCAGCCAAATATGACTAATGAGACCAAGAACAATTGTTGCTGCTGTCTCTAATTTAGGAAAAAGGTAAATAAACCTACGTAGAAATATAAACAAAAACAAGAAAAATTATATTATATTATATTATATTAGTATACAGTCTACAAAATATTACATTCTGGCAATTCTCACTGCACTACATTATGTATTGAAATAAATACAAACAAAAAAAGTATTTAAAAAAAAACTGGATGCACAACACTCTGCAGATCTTCTCACATAACAGAGAATTGTGGGGGAGATTTTCTTAATTGTCATTAAAAAAAAAAAGTGCCAACAATAATTTTGTGCTTTCGTGAGATTCATCCATAAAGGGTTTTGTGTAGAATGGAAAAATGGAAAGATCAATATCTGTCTAGTGAACGAAGCGGGTGAAACAAGGGAACTTTTGGGCTGTTTGCAGCGATCAGTATAAAAGACTAATTTTCCCTTTAGCAAACGTTCCCACACATTACTATGCTCAGATTACATAACATGTGATCACAGCAAAAGGATTTTCCAATCTGAACCGGGTCCAGGAGGTCACATACTGTCCTTAAGCGCAAGTGTTTGAATATATATAATGCGCTCAAGCGGCTTTGACTGCCTGTGTGTCCTGTATTAAAACTTTAAAACCGGTTTGATAAGAACTGAAGCAGGTGATCCAGAGTTCCCGAGAAAGCGAGGGTGGTTTTCATGAAGTCTCAACTAGTGCGACTAAAAACACAGGACTCAAGTGCGGTCAAGGCAGCGGCCGAATGAAATGGGAAATGGAAGACGTCCTCACAGTCAGAGGTTATGATTGTTAATGGAATCCACCTCTCTAACAGAATAATTCAATGTGCTACCGATGCAATGCGATACGATTCACCCCATTACGATTTGATTCAACAATACGATTCAATGCAATATTATGCAATGGAAAAAAACATGATGCTATGCAATTCAATATGGTACAGAGAGTTTGCTTTGATTTCTATGAGAGAACGCGCTTGAGAAACAGTTTAGAGAGGAGAAATCAATCTACATAAAATATTGGTCACAAATTATTGGTCACTCTCTAAATAATAAAAGTATAGCACATCTACTAATAATGATATTTAAATAGTTTTTTACAGATGCAAATATGTTAGAAATGATGCATCGCGATACAAATGCCAACTTGTATACGATGCACGCTTTTTTAACCAATGCATCGCATGGTTAATTTTTATGCTGAAGCACAGATGCGAATCTGTGAATCTTACCATCCCTAATTCAGAAGAAAGATTCAGCCAAATATGACTAATGAGACCAAGAACAATTGTTGCTGCTGTCTCTAATTTAGGAAAAAGGTAAATAAACCTACGTAGAAATATAAACAAAAACAAGAAAAATTATATTATATTATATTATATTAGTATACAGTCTACAAAATATTACATTCTGGCAATTCTCACTGCACTACATTATGTATTGAAATAAATACAAACAAAAAAAGTATTTAAAAAAAAACTGGATGCACAACACTCTGCAGATCTTCTCACATAACAGAGAATTGTGGGGGAGATTTTCTTAATTGTCATTAAAAAAAAAAAGTGCCAACAATAATTTTGTGCTTTCGTGAGATTCATCCATAAAGGGTTTTGTGTAGAATGGAAAAATGGAAAGATCAATATCTGTCTAGTGAACGAAGCGGGTGAAACAAGGGAACTTTTGGGCTGTTTGCAGCGATCAGTATAAAAGACTAATTTTCCCTTTAGCAAACGTTCCCACACATTACTATGCTCAGATTACATAACATGTGATCACAGCAAAAGGATTTTCCAATCTGAACCGGGTCCAGGAGGTCACATACTGTCCTTAAGCGCAAGTGTTTGAATATATATAATGCGCTCAAGCGGCTTTGACTGCCTGTGTGTCCTGTATTAAAACTTTAAAACCGGTTTGATAAGAACTGAAGCAGGTGATCCAGAGTTCCCGAGAAAGCGAGGGTGGTTTTCATGAAGTCTCAACTAGTGCGACTAAAAACACAGGACTCAAGTGCGGTCAAGGCAGCGGCCGAATGAAATGGGAAATGGAAGACGTCCTCACAGTCAGAGGTTATGATTGTTAATGGAATCCACCTCTCTAACAGAATAATTCAATGTTGGACAGAAGATTATTCCATTATAGAGCTTTCAGCTGTGTTTCACAACAGAGACGGGAAATATCTCTAGATCAGTCTTCATAGATAAGATACCAGTGAAACAGGAAGACAACATCAGACTTGTTTTTGTGGTGTTCACATACCACAGTTAAATCTCGTTTACTTCATTTAAAAGGTTATTTTTAAAATGAACAGTTCTGGCTCTAAATCCTGACATGTGAACCTGTTATAACCACTGTTGTCCACACATGAGCTACATGTCGGATCACATTTCTTGAATCGGATTGCGTTGTTGTGTTGAGTTTAATATGCTTTAATTGGATTTGGTTAGAATTGTTTCATGTATTCTTGGAAAAATGGGCATCTGGACATAAATGTTGTCATTTTTAAGTAATTTAAATGATGTGGTGATTCGAGGGAAATGACTGAGTGGAGAATAGAAACCATCCGGTGCTATGTTGAGCGTATTATCTCAGGAGTCAGCGGTCAGAGTGGCCATATAAGTTACAAACAAGTCAAATGTTATTTCTTTGTAGATTATATAACAACAACTTGGAAAACAAACAAAACAGAAAAGGTAAGAAGCATTATTTGAGAAAAGGGCATACTAATATAATAGGCGCAGACCTGTAACTAACTTTACCCTGTGCTGACGTAATTTCAGATTTTTGTGAAAAAGGCTAATTATTTCTCTTTGGTCTTTTAGCAGGCACTGCTTGGTGTGCATTAGACCGCTCGATCACGCACCATCTCCTGCGCCACGGCTTCAGGGACCTCCTTCTCCAGGTCGAAGCTGAACTCGATGGCTCCTCCATCCCTGTACTTGCCCTTCAGCTTGCGGGGATCCTCCACCCACAGCTTCAGCGCGATGCACGTCTTCAAGCCGTCGTCCTCCTCCGCCAGCTCCACCCTCACGCCGGTGTCCTCCGCGAAGAACGCGTGATTCAGCAGGTCCTTGATGGAGTAACTGTGGGAAGAGCATCGGCGGAGCGGTTACTGGACGCAAGAGGGCACAACGTTCAAATAAACGGTTTTCTTCTTCAGCAATTGTGAGCTGTGCTGCCAAAACGAGTGGGAATGCACAGTCTAATTTTGAGCTACAGGCAAAAAAAAAGGTGAAAAATATTGATTTCAGTCAAATTCTGTTTTCACAAAAGTTAGTTCATTAAACCCTCGTCTAGCGATCCCAATGTTTCAAATAGTAATTAAACATCTAAAAATATCTTTAATTGTACGTTTTCTAAGAGGACTACCTTTTCTCTGCTTGCTTCAGCACGCAATCCCGATAAATATACACATACATAGGATTATTACAGTATTTAAGTTTTCACGCAAACATAATCAGTTATGTCTTAAGCGAATGTTTGGGGAACTGCTGGGGAAAAACGTCTGATGTGTAACATTATGTTAGATATGTGCTTTACAGTAGGACTTACTATATAGGCCATCTGTCTCATTAATGTTAATCTAACCATAAAAGAATCACTCGCTGCAGTTGACACTGCTTTTGTAGTTTTAATAGTCAATTTATTTGTAATGAACACACTAAGGGGATTTTACATTTGATTATTTGTTTTTCTTGAATGCTTGTTTAGATGTAAAATGGAAAAGGTAATGCATTATTTGTTTCTTTCTTATATTTGTTCTTCTGCTTTTTTTGCATCGGTTCTTATTTATAATAACAAAGATAAAATAAAAATAGCTATATTGTGATTATTAATATAGTATTTTTAAGAAAGGAAGTGGAGGAAAAGATGCAATATTGCTCGCTGATTCACTTTGGAACCTTCAGAAAACTTGATTTTTCTCAGAATTGAGTTTGCTGACTCTATCGAATTCAAACGGGTGGAGCTCAGTCATTTTTCGTCCGATTCCGACAAATCATACATTATTTTGAAGGTCTTCTGAACATTTTTTTTTTATTTGCTCATTGTGACTCATTTTGCCAGCACAGGTCACAAATGGTGATATGCCTTCAGGAAATTCTGAACAACAGCCTCAGTCAAACTACTGCGCTTTATATGAGTGTATTTAGCTTCTGTTTGCAATTTGAAACCCTATTAACAGCATTTGGGATATGTGCGATTATGATTTAAATCATTTAAAACCCTTTCCAACACTTGTGTGATTTATTTTCCAGAAGTAAACATGAAATGATCACATTTGAAAGATAAATGCACAGATTACAAGCAGAATGAGTTAACCAGTCACTCAGCTGCGACGAGCTACTTTGGGAATAAATCTTCTGTATTTACAGACAAACTTTTTATCCCATAAAATAAGTGTTTCTTTTTTCTTACAATAAGTTTGGTAACAGGGTTGAACAGCTGAATTTGATGAATGCAGTCAACGCTATAATGTAGCAAAGTCATGATCAATGGCAAAATTATTCGTGTCTGCATTCAGATAAAACCAACTGTGCGTGGGAATTAATCTGGAAATTTGTCTGAACTACATGAAAATCCCATTTCAAAATGTTATTCTGTTCCTTCCATAGTTAACATACAGTATAGCATATGCCTTGTATAATTGACAAAATTATTTTATGATATTAATTATAGACAAAATTATACTATTTCATTAAAACAAATGGTACCTAACATGAAGTTCTTTAGTGGACAGACATTGTTTTTTGGCAACAGTTCCCACCACTTTTTGCGACTTTGTCTCCATCACTTCATACACTCACTACTATTGCACTGGGCTTTTAGTTGTTTATCTAGAACACTGTGCTGTCACCCAGATCACCTGTGATCCAGCAAAAACAAGGAGTTACTGTGTCTAACAAATACTTTTTCTATTATTTGTTCGAATTCATTATTTACCAACAACAAAAAACCATACCTGCTCTGGCCAAACTCTAAAGCAGAATCGCATGTATGCCTACAAACCCATAATGCACTGCCATCAAGATGGATTTTGAATGCAATGCACTCGATAACAGAAAGCATCAGTATAAACATTTGAAACACTTCGGTGTGTGTGTGCAGTGTATTTTCATGCATCATGTGGAGACTGTACTCATGAGGGTGAGCTAGTGCAGATCAGCTCTGTCTGTACTATTCTGGGCTCTCGATACTCACCGCTCCTCTTTATTCTGACAAATACACTCGCCAATGATCTCTTTGACCTCAGGATCCATCACTTTATTATAACTGGCAGGCTTCACCCCCTGAGAGAGAGAGATAGAGAGATATTAAGCAGCAGTAACTGTAGAGGACCAGCACATTTTGCTCATTTGCATGCATTTGTGACTAACAGACCAAAAACTGATGTTGTTATTCACTGGTAATCTTTCTCTCCAGTGAGCTGTGGCTCAAAACCTGAGTTTTGCTTGCGTTATTTGCGTTATTTGAAGGCCAAGTGCCACTAATGTTGTGTTTTTGTAATTTTAAATAAAAGAGTTAATGTTTATGTATTATTGCTATTTTTTTATCGTGACATCCCTAGAGCTGAATTCTGGTTAAAAAATCAGACTAAATTTGTTCACAAAGCAGTTTTCCAATTTACTGACTTGATGACTTCTCATGTTAACAGTTCACTGATTTTCAACGGATAAATCAAATTTCAGTCAGATTGTCACACAAAGCTTTCATACAACTTCAGAATGTAATGCACAAGTTTTTAATGGTTCTATTTATGTTTTTGGTCATTATTACATATCATGGTACAGAAAATGTTATTTTGTGCTCTGCAGGAAAACAGAAACTAGTAAATGACTGATTTTTTTTATTTTGGGGTGAACCTCTTTAATTGTCAATGTCAAAAGCAAAACAGGAAATTTAAATATTTTGATTTTGGGGTGAAATATAACCTGGATATGTTCTTGAGAAAGAGGACATCTCAACTAAACAATAAAACAGTGACTTTGCTCCATCTCTTGCTCTTGCTCAGCACTGAAAGAAATCACTGATGCTACTCGCTCTTCTCCTTCAGTAAAAATGAAATAAATCACGGCGATGGTCATCTGAACTCCATGAAGCATATTCATATGCATTATTTGCTGAAGTCAGCAGCTTGAGCGCAGCTTCAGAGAGATATACAGAAGCCCTGACCATCAAACACACATGAATGATCTTCACTCGGAGAGAAACAGAGACAACGCAAGACACTGATCGGGTTAGCTACTCAAATCAATACCCATCTACACACACACACAATTTCATTAGGCCTGGCTCTAAAGCTATTAAGCCAACACTTTTAATACTTCAAGATAAATCACACACAGAACATATAAATATAATTTAATGACTGACTATCTGAAAAGTCTAGATCAATGATTCTCAACCAGATGGCCCCAAGACTACATACACTGACATAAAACAAATCAAGCTGTAAAAAAGTGTGTTTGAATATGAGAACCACTGCTGTAGACCAGTTCGGTGTTTGCAAACAGTGGTGAGGATTTTTTGTGGGCAGGGCCTATGTGGTGGCAGAAAATGACAGTTTTCACATAGCAGTCTATGGGAGCCATGGAATAAAAGAATAAAAAAGGTAAACTTGAGTTTATATTTCAAAATTCTGACTTTAATCTCACAATTCTGATAAGGAAAAACAGCTTGTCATTCTCTCTTTTCCCCTGTGCTCAGAATCATGACTTTATATCCCTGACTTCTGGCTTTATTTTCCTCAGAATTGACAAACTCGCTATCGTTGAGTTAAATCGAGTCATAAAGTCCGAAATAGGAGATATAAACTTGCATATGCAAGAAAAAATGTCAGAATTGTGAGATAAAATAGGTAAATGTTATGTAAAATGTAATGTTTAAATAGTATTTTGTGCTGTAACTGTAGGGCTAATACAATATGTCCCCAATGAACCTATTGTTTAAGACCTATTGTTTAAATCAAATGTATGCTTTAAAAGTAGAGTAATCTAAGCAGTTTTCATCCAGTCTGTCCGTTTAAACGTCTGCGTTTAGCTTCAAATGGCGTCTTTGACGACAGTATTCTATAAAAATGATTTGCATTCCGATTCTGACATCCAAAGGCACAAAAATCATTTTTTTTCTTATTCCATAAATTTGACCAATTTCCCTCCACTTGTTACCAGTGTTTTTCTGCCACCACAATGAACACGCAGCTGTAAGTGACCTAACTGTGATGTCTACTCCAAATTGGTCTGTAAAAATGGAATTTGAAATACATATCATTTTCTTATCAGAAATCACGTTTGGTCTCGTACTGTATCGCACACCTTGTCAGTGTCGTGCGCTTTGCTTGGCCATTTGTTGTGATAAACAGGAAAGTGTGTTCAAGCGCCAGCAAAACAGTGTAAAGAAATACTATTTGAGAGAAGCAGTCAATCAGCAGAAGTTAAAAGCAGCTCGTAAGTGTATTTATTTCTTGTCTCAGTGTTTAGCGCAGTTGTCGTTGCAAGGAAACGATTGTTTTGTTTACTGTGTGGAGACGTGCTGAAATCGCGTTTGGTCTCGTACTGTATCGCGTACCTTGTCAGTGTCGTGCTCTTTGCTTGGCCATTTGTTGTGATAAACAGGAAAGTGTGTCCAGCTGAATTCAATTTGGGTTTTGTTAGACGAATATAAAAAGCTTAGTATACCGTGGCAGCGGTCGCGGCAGCCCTCGTGTGAAGACCGAAGAGTTTAAAGACCATCGACTCTACCGTTCGACTCCACAGAGCAGGGACATAAGTATCACTTTTGAATCATTCTGTTTCCTACTACTTGTTTCCCTTCTGTTTTCAGTTTTTATAACCAATTCTTACTATGTGTTTCCAGATCCCTACTATCACTACCACTCGCAAACCATGCATCACACACTGTAGGCAGCGCAATCCTAACAACCTGCGCAATTTGCCTATGTCTCCTAATACACTACTTTCTTTTTCTATTGGTCTATGGAATTGCCAGTCTGCTTTAAACAAAGCAGATTTCATTACATCTATTACAAGTCATTCAAGACTAAACCTCATGGCCTGAATTAGTTGTGCTGCTCTCAGCCTTTCCTGAGGATGGTACTCCCCTAGTTATGCTTGGAGACTTCAACATCCACCTAGATACTTCCACACTCTGCTTGCTTCTTTTGATCTCAAGCGAGTGTTAACTATGGCTACTCACAAATCAGGCAACCAACTGGACCTTATTTACACATGACACTGCTCCACTGATCATGTGGTCGTTACTCCACTGCACACCTCGGATCACTTCCTCCTCACTCTTAACCTCAATATGGTTCCTGACACAACACATACCCCTACACATGTCACTTTTCGACATAACGTACGCTCTCTCTCACCCTCCCGGCTATCTGCTATGGTTTCATCTTCGCTTCCTTCCCCTAAACAGTTATCATCTCTTGATGTTAACCGTGCTACTGATACTTTCTGCTCCACTCTTACGTCTTGTTATGACACTGTCTGCCCCTTTGTCTTCCAGGCCAGGCCGAACCACCTCTTCTGACCCTTGGCTATCTGATGTTCTCCGTGAGCATCGTTCTAAGCTCAGGGCTGCTGAAAGGGTGTGGCACAAATCACAAAATCCTACTGACATTAATGTATATCAATCACTCCTTTCTTCATTCTCTGCTAATGTCTCCACTGCTAAAAGGACATACTATCACAACAAAATTAACAATTCGCCTAACTCTTGCATGCTCTTTAAAACATTTTCCTCCCTCCTTTGTCCTCCTCCTTCCCCTCCTTCATCAACTCTAACAGCTGACGACTTTGCCACTTTCTTCATTAATAAAATTACAAACCTCAGTGCACAATTTGCCACACCACAAACTGTCAAACACATCTTACCAGCAAACATACACTCGTTCACATCCTTCTCTCCATTCTCTGAGGCAGAAGTCTCTAAACTCATCCTTTCCAATCATCCTACTACTTGTCCACTTGATCCTATTCCATCTCATTTCCTTCAAGCCATTTCTCCTGCAGATGTACCTGCACTCACTCACATCGTTAACACATCCCTTCACACTGGTGTTTTTCCCTCGACATTTAACAGGGCTTAAAGTTCTCCGGCACCGTACCGGATCTCCGGCGTGTGGCGTTTAGCTGCGTGAAAATAAGATAGTCCTCCTACATTAAAAAAAATTGTTGATATCACGAGTTAATGAGTTCGCCTACCAATGTATGAGAGGAACACAGCTTTCACTCTCAACCAAACTAACATTACTAGCCAATCAGACATTTTTGGTCCTATAAACATGAGACGCGCATAATAGTATCCAAATGCAGAGTCGCAGCTGATGAGCGCGACACGTTCTGAAAAAGCTGCGAGGCGCAATGGTCAAAGATTTCCATCTAGAGCCATATTTATATAGAAAAGCTATTTTCTATATAATTAACAGAGCTTTGTAAACAGCTCAGAGTAATCACATCATCGCCATAAGAACGATATGATTGGCAGAACAAATTTACCTGTAGTTTTGAAAAGGTCCTGTTCACACATGATCTCTTAACGGCAATTTACCAGTGAAGAATGTATGTGTGAAAGGGGCTTAACTCTTCCTCTGCATATGCGGTGAGTTTGGATTGCTTAACGTTCATCTGGGAAAACTGTGTGTTATCTCACTTAATTTGTAACTTAAGTCATTTATAAACCTATGCCAACACAGAATACATCAACATATTTCTAAATATGCGATTTATTGTAGATTGCGATTTCAAAATAAAAGTTTCTCACTTTGCATATTGCGCGTTAAATATCGCATGCGATTTATCTTGCAGCCCTAGTCCCGTTCACACATGATCTCTTAATGGCAATTTACCAGTGAAGACTGTATGTGTGAAAGGGGCTAAACTCTTCCTCTGCATATGCGTTGAGTTTGGGCTGCTTAACGTTCATCTGGGAAAACTGTGTGTTTTCTCACTTAATTTGTAACTTAAGTCATTTATAAACCTATGCCAACACAGAATACATCAACATATTTCTAAATATGCGATTTATTTTATTAAAATAAAAGTTTCTCACTTTGCATATGGCCAAATATTGCAATTAAATGGATTTAAACTTCGTTGAATCACATGAAACATCACCAGGCCGTTGGCGCCCTCTGCAGGTATTTGTTATAATATAGGCATATTACATTATTTATTTAACAGTTACTTTATACTTGATACTTTATTTGAGCCAATATAAGTATATGCATTTTGTCTCATCTCGTGAGCTAAGTTTATTGTCACACCCCTAGTGTCGATAAGCGGTGATATAGCTCATAATTTTCCAAGTGTATGATATAGCCTAGCTTTCATTCTTCAGGTCAATCATATACTCGTGAAAAAAAAATCAGTTTGAATAATGAAAGCAATAACTTTGCCATAGTATCCTTTCAAATGTTAAAGTTGCCACAGTCATTGAATTCTTTTATTTGTACCATATGTTTTATTAGTTTATATATTAGAATTTGAAAGACAATAACAATATTTTTTGATAAGTGATAAGTGAGATCTGATTTTAGTCCTTGAAAACCGAAAGAGTAGTGCTTGAAAAGTCCTTGAAAGTCCTGGAATTTCATTTTGCAGTGTCTGTACGAACCTTGTTTAAGTTACCAGTTCTTGGAGCATTTTATTTTGCTGTTGTTAATTGAACTGAACTGTAGTTTTCTGTAGTAAACTGTCTTTGTATATTTCTTATTTTATATTCATTTCCTAGTATTTAATTTACTATTATTTCTTTTGAACAAAACAATTTCTGAAATGTCATGTTTTATATTGTAGGTCATCTTGTACCTGTCACGAATCCTGTCCATGGACTTCCATCTACTTACCACCAGAGGTCGCCCTCCCATTATATTGATTTTCACATTACACAGACTGTTGCATGTCACTCTGGACTACATTTCCCATCATCCATTGCACTGATTGCACACAGCTGTAACCAATCACACACACTATATTACACCCACTCAGATCCTTCTCAAACTTCTCAAACTTTAGCGTATATTGCTCACCTAGTGATAGCTACATTACGGAGCCAGTTCCCTGTCAAAGTTTATAGTTCTAGTTTCCATAGTCTAGTCATAGTCTTGCCTTGCCTGTTTTCTCGTGTTCTGATTCTTGCCTGTGTATCCTGGATTACCGCTCTCATCTCGCCCTGTTCGGATACTGATTACCCCTCGCCTGGACCAAAGCCTGTGTTTCGGATTAACCCTGTGGATTACCCAGTTTGGACATTGTTTCGCCGGAGATCGACCTCGCCCGTTCACTGGACTACTCTTGTGTCTTGCCCACTATATAACTGAGGGCCATTGTCTGACCCTCGCCTGTTTTGACCACGTCTTTGAAATAAAGCTTTGCAAATGGGTCCGCACGTCTCTCGTTCCTGTCGCACCATAACAGTACCCTGTCAAGGACAAATCTAACCAGCAAAACTTGATATCAAAAGCATCCTAAATGTTACGTGTTTGCATTAAAGTGAGTAACCTTTCCTGGTATTGCTGTTTCAAATAGCCCACCATAGTCTGTAGTCTGAGCCTGTCAAGGGCTAATGGCAAGGGCAGATATGTTACTAGTTAGTTTCAAGGAAAATCATTTTCAAATAATGTTCTTTTTTTTTTTTTTTTCCCAGATA